AATTCAATGGAAACGTCAGCTCTACTTATATTATTGTGGGAAAATTCTACTACCAGTCCTTCATCACCTTAAACGAAATACGCTGAATACATCTCATATTACTCATTTACTGGTATTCTCGAAACTCTACTTAAATACATGTGCATAGTTATTAAAGCCCCAATTCATAAGACAACAGTGCTTAATTTTCTTTTAAAATATGATATTCGCCTAAATTTTTTTCATAACTTTTCTTATTGATTACGCCTAAGAAACAACTTGATATCATCACGCGTATTCATCTTATTTAGCTCTAATATAAATGCTATAAAATATTAAACTTCAAAGGAAAGCTAGACCATAGCAGAGTTGATTTAAGATAATCATATACAAAAAGTTTATTTTTATATGCTCGGTCTGCCCCCAATTTAAATAAACTATTTGATAATCGGAACAAATATTCATAGCTTGACTTTGTCATAGGAATGTTAATTGATTCTATTTTTTGGGCTTATCTTCCTCAATCAATCTTTTGGCAGCCTTAATTCTAATCAATAGCCTAGGATAATCCCTGAAGTGCATAATTCATCTTCCATTGTAATTTTTTAAACTAATTCTATCAGCTGGCTGACGAACACTCCAATGGCCTTGGTGAATACGATGGTAACCCACTACTTCGGCTCTATGCCCGGATGGATGCCGATGATGACTTGGCCGAGGCCGAAGAGCACTTGGCCTCTACTGAGACTGTCGGCTCCCAAAACGAAACAGGGGCTCCCAGTGGTGGCGTCTATCATTCAATGTCCGCTGGGGATGCGGACATACTAGACCTTTGCGCCATAGGAATGGAGGTGGCGAGTGGTGATCATGAGGGCGAGGAGCCAGAGGATCATGCCAAACTTATAGGAGACAATTCCAAAACTCTACTGCCTCTTGGATCCTCAGCGCCGGGTGTTGCTGGATCTGGTGGTGTTGTCTCGCTTGAGGTGCGGCAGGAACAAATTGAGGTGCTTCAACGCAGATGTGTGGAACTTGAAGTGCCTCTTCTGGCCGAATATGATTTCCGCCAGGATCGCGTAAATAAGAACATTGCAATCGACCTTAAGGCCAGTACCAGCCTCAGACCCTACCAGGAGAAAAGTCTGCGCAAGATGTTTGGCAATGGGCGTGCCCGTTCTGGCGTTATTGTGCTACCCTGTGGTGCTGGAAAGACTTTGGTCAGTTTGGGCCATTCGTATTGTCTAGCCCTAGATGGAATAATGATATTTTTGCTAGGCATCTTTTGCTATTTTACATATTTATGTATTTAATTATTAAAGCTTATTTATCTCTCCTACCTACCCATTTTTAAATGCTTTCACAGACTTAGATCTAGGCTTTTATCTGTCTTCTCTTTATTTTATTTCTCAGAATCTGGCAAGTGTCTGATTTTTACCAACCGGTTCCATTTACTCAGACATTATTCATTTGTGTGAGATATATTTTTGCGCCCACTTTTTTCCTT